AGTCATTAAAGAATTTAAAATTTATATAGATTTGTGCCACTGCTAAATTACCCCATCATTCTGCATGGCTTTTTGCCTAGACACCATTCTAGTCTAACATGTCTAAGGGTTTCCAAATTGAGATTATTTTGCGTTCTTTCAGACCCTAACATAGGTTTAATTACTTTCTAGCTATTTTTCTCTGACCATGTAAATATATGCTAGACATGAATGTATGGTGGATCAACACCTTTTTTTTCTGAGGCATATTTTGTATTATGATAAGATATACAGAGGAACCTGTGTGAAAAAAATGTTACATTGGAATGATGTTCAAAACAACGTTCATGCTTTTTTACTAGGTATCAAGGCCTGGTAAATTTTGATTACTTCAGAACTGCAGAACCCTTTTGCATCCATCAAATGCCTTTATTGAGCACAAAAATAGTAATACTACAGACTCATTTCCCTTTCTTTTACTGGGCAAAATGCTTGTCCACTAACATTAATGTGGTCATATAACTAGATGTGGCTTGCAGAACAGACATCTTTATTCCTAAAATTGTGACAGCAGTTGTGATTTCTAAGGTAAATTGGGTTCAGCATTTTGCTGACAATAATAAGCAATTTGTATGGTAATTATCCACTACAAATTTACAGCATTTTTACACATTTTTAAAGAGAAAGCATAAATGTTACCATTACATTCTAGGAAGACTTTTAAGCCGGTAAATGCTGAGAAACTGAAAGGACAACTAAATGAGTACCTCCATACTTAATGCCATGTTTCTAGAGATGTTTCTTACTTGGTTTCTACAACATTCTAATTAAGACTGTGTATGAAAAAGAAAAAAAAGGAAAGAGAAAAAAGACCACCAGAAACCCCTCAGTAAAATATGAGTAAAGGCATGAAGAGAGAGCTTAAAAATGAGATGTTTACTGCATGCAGTGAGTTTATAAATCCTAAATGAAAGACAGCAGTTATGGAACTAGAATATATAGACAATACTAATGCTAACAAGAAAGGAGCAGGAAAGGAGGGATTTTTTTTAGAAGTGAAGCTGTACCATAGAAGTTACTGTGTTTAATTTTTTTTTTGGTCTTAATATTGAAGTCTTTCCACTCTAAGAAAGGCATTATTAAACTTCATTAATTTCATTTGACTGACTGACAGAATGGTAAAGTTTGAATTTATCTGAGAAATGAAATTGATAAAAGTTTTGTAGTGGAGATAGCATTTAGAGGCTATTTTTTTTAACTAGGGGTGATTAAGGAATGACAAGATTCAGGTCCAAGTTCTTCTAAATTTTTTCCTGGAAATAAGTTTTTTTATTCATATCAGAGACTCCCTGAAAGACTAGAATTCAAGGAAGAGAAGAATTAAGAATTCTGGACAGTATTTTAAATAACAGTTAAAGGCATAGCTCCCACTGCATTCCGTTTTCAAAATCTGGTGCTTCTGGAAACCCCTGTCAAAAGACAAGACTGTCCATAAGGCAAGAAATACAATGAAGATAAAGTATGATTTGCAGAGAAAAACAACAAAATCGTGACGACAGGTAGACAATGTAAATATGTAGGAGACTCATCCAAAGGTCGATAGGATAGAATCAGATTAGGATGATAGAATGGAGGCTATGATCGTCATTGCCTGCTCACAAAGTGGACATTAGTACTGAAAAAAATCATCCTGTCTAGCTAGATATAAAAAAATAAATTGTTTAGTTCTTGCAAAACATTTCTATACCCATCTTCCAACTTAGTGCTGACGACAGTAACAGTGTTCAAGCAAGTATTAAAGCAAAAAATGTAACCAGCAATTCACCCCAATATTTACAGAGTTCATGAAAATACCAATAAGTATGGATACTTGAATTGTGTATAATTCTTTACTGTAAGCCACTAATCATCTTATGCATGTGTATTGCAGAGAAATTATACTTCAGGGAGGAAGAGCTTTTTTCTGTCCTTTTGCATAAAAGCGGAGTAAGTTTATGTGAAACTGAAAGGCAGAAAATATAATCAGCTAAAGATTATTCTAACACACCTACTTTTGCAACTTATCGGCACTAGGAAACACAGAGATTAAGATTTTAGAATTGGTCAGATAAGAATGCATAAAAAAAGCCCCAAACCCACCCCCAAAAAAAACACCTCAAGAAACAGGAAAGAAAAATTAGTTACCAGGGAGCATAAATTAAAAACCTACAATTTCTGGAAGGACCATAAAGTGGTATATGTTTGAGAACATAACATATTGACCATCAGTAGAGACAAGGTCGTAAATTAGACAGATAACTAATTAGTCTAACTGAATGATTGCTACTCTTTCTTTAGGCTATATATACTTTTTTTTTTTTTTAATACTTCATGAATTTAATGCACAGTTAATTTTCCCTTTGAACATATAACATGGAAACACATCAAATACTTCAAATACACACATGCTTTCCTTAAACTATGTCCAAAGCATTTCTTTTATTCCTCATTTCATCTTGTTTTGTCAAGGAACAGAATTAAGTTAGTTTAGAATTAACCTACCCCATCCACCTTGAAAAAAAAAAGTAAATTTGAGTGATAAAAAACTTCAAATTCTTTAATGAAGAAGTCTAAAAAAATTGGGCAGTTCCCAAAATATGTCTGAAAATCTTGACTTAGCCTTTCTAAAAAAAACCCTCTGAATGAAAGGATAACAGCTTTGAAGCATTATATGTTTTGTCTTTACAAACACATTAACAGTCATGAAGTCATGTTCCTGCAGTATATAAAATGCATTTTATTTTAGTATCATATATATTCGAGATTTTTTTTTTTGTAAATACACCTAAAAATCAAACCATCAAGTTTGAATTCTCCTGAAAAATTAGTACAAGAACCTGATTTAATTATTTATTCAAATGGCAGCACCTCTAACGTCACAGCACCTTTTCTAAGCTCTTCTGTAATAAAAGGCTCAAAATGAATACACATACTAAATCACTAAAAAGGCTTCCAGGCTTCTTTGTTAGCTATTTCAGAAAGCAAAGCCAAGAGAGACAATACAACAGGAAAGTATTTTATAATAAATAAAGGCAAATTTCTAGTGTTTCAGGTTAAGGAAACCCACACAGCTAATAATTTATGTTCGATCACTGAAAATTAAATGTCTTCTGCAAACAGAACTAATGCAATAAACATGTTCATATACTGAATATAAATTGTACAAAGCTAATAGTAATGACATCATTTATTTATATAGTATGCATTATAATGTTAAAGTATAATCACTGTTTAACTTCTCAAATCCATGATGAAAAGATTTATATAGATGCATGTGCAGAAATTTATATAGAAAGACATGAGATCTGGAGAATGAATATAAAATTGTGTTGCAGGATATGTGTATTTTATGAAAATGCATATATATTAGAAGATACGGTAAACTGTCTCTCTGTCTCTCACACTTATGACTTCACCAGTTGATGGTTCTTTCCTGCTCCTTTCCTAGTCTCTTCTTCTTGAAGGCATAATAGAATAACACTTTTCATCTTTATTGTTCCCAAACTCATAACATAGTTCTATATGCCTATCTTTGGGGAAAGACCTTACTCTTATTTATTTTTCTGGATGGACATAAAGTGTGGGTTACAATCTAGACAGCAATTACACACTAATATGAATGTAGTGTATACTGCATACCTCAATTATCCAAGATATGAATACATTCTATTCTGAATATATGAATATATTTTGCCATTGATGTCAGTAGCTTAGACTTGTCTTACCTAAATTTAGAATCTTAGCAGTTAGGAATCTCATCTAATTTAAATGGTGGTGGTTCATAACTAGCCAATGGAGAGAACCAGGAAAACTAAGGCCATAATTCTTTCTTTTCTAAGATGGTAGGCAGAGAGAGAGAATCATATTCTTTCTTCATGGATGAAATTAATTTATACTGGGATGATTAATTTTGTCTAATCTAATTTTAGGAATGTAAATCAAGTAAATAAGCACAGACAAATTGTACTCACCATTATTTTTTGCCTGTGGTAGACTAATACAATGTAAATAAATCTTTATTCCAAAGCCTTTAAAAAGTATGTCAGAAAAATAGAGGTATCAAATATTTTTACATGTTTACAATGATTTTTACTTTTTTTTTTGTTAAAAGTGAAAAGTCAGCATATATGAAAACATAACATAAAAAAGCAAATCTGGGAAATGCATGCAATTTATGAAATAAGCTGATTTGTATTTTGACATAAAGCATTTCAAGAAGCTTCACTACTTAAACAGTTTTAGGAATTTCAATAATTTTGCCAAATTTATTTAATACTGCTTATATTTTCTGTAATTTTGGGGGCATGGAGTTTTATTTATCTGGAAAAGGTATTCTTCCCAAACAAAAAAAACATAGTACCTCATATAATTAGAAATATAGTAACATTTTCTTCAGTTATCTTACACAGACTAAAAAATGAAACTTAAAATGTTAACATTTTATAACCTGCATTTTTTCTGTATAGACATTCTTTTTTTAATTTGTATGATAATGGAGTGGTAAAAATATATGGCTTTAAAAGGATCCTCCGCCACTGAGCTAAAGTAAGTTTGGTGGGGGGCATATACTACAGCATAACTGGCAATCAACATAGTAGAAATCTGTGGCTCGATTAGGATATATGCTCTGGCATTCAGTTAACGAAACATGCATTTTCCAAACCGCTTTTGGAAAAAAAAAAACAAAATAGCAAACATTTAAAAAAAACCCACTATGTTTTATAATTTAGAGAAAATATCTTCTAAGAGCCAGATCATCAGAAGATGTATTCCATCAGATGGAACTTCCCATTAAAATCAGAAAAGCAAAATTTTATTTATGACAGTTTTTAAACAGAACTGTAGAAAGCATATGAAAAAGTTTTAGGTTAGAAAGAAACAGAAAGGTAAGTAGCATGTGTTTTTAGGGATTCCAAGCATGCTCCTTTTCTAGCATTTTAAAGTGATCTTTAAAACTGGTATTGAAAAAAAACATAACTTACTTGAAGATCTTGCTGAGTGTCTGTGTGGCTGCTTATTTTTTTCTCTGTTCTCAGTCAAAGCACTTCCACTGGCCATGGAAACAAGGTCTAAATCCGTGTCTTCTCTGCTTACAGGGCTTGCCTGGAAGCAGTGGGAGAGAATGTACACAATCATGAAACAAAATATAACATTTTCTGAATGCAGCTCACATTACCCCAAATAAACAAACACGGTCTGTCAAACAACCTTCTTCAAAATGATACCACAATCCTTTATTGTTGCCTAAGCTGAACAAATGCACTATGTCAAAGCATTTTTGTAAATAAGAGCCGATCTTAAAATTGTGGTTTGTGATCTGAGTCAGTGCAACAACAAAAGAAAACATTTTAGTACAGTAATTTTGAAGAAAATCAATCTTGCAGACGGCTGATGAAACCTTAAACAGCTTAAGATCATTTACTGACCAGTCTATAATTTAAGTTATAGTTGAATGTCAGAGATGTCATATTGGATTATTTTCTGCAATATTTATGTTTTATCCAGGACATGCATCAGTTTAATCAGTCAAGGGCCCAGTAAGTAATTTAATCTACGTTTTTTGCTAATTAACCATAACCACCAGACGGCATTTTAATTGTACTTTAGGTAAGAGTATTATATTAATTATAAATTTCTAGCATCCAGTAGAGATACATTTTGGCATAAAGCTTGCCTTATGCACATAAATATGGCAAAATAGAAACGAAAATCATATTTCAGCAATGAGTCCTTGCTTTGGAGACATACAGGGCAAAGGTTAAAAATACTGACCTGGAAGATTCCACACACTGTAAATGGTGGATTGTTAGTTTTGCGGAAATGACTTCACATTTACTCAACAAGAGCTCCCTTTCCTTGAAATGAAGTTGTTCAATACCAAAAGCAGCCATCTAATACTGTTGACTAGATACTGAGGCAGTAACAATGATGAGGAAAAATCAGACATTGTGGAAGAGTGATCTACAAAATCCACAGTGTAGTTAGTCAGCTGGAAGTACTGACCATGAGTGTGTACTTTTCTCATCTCTGGACCTTCAGAAGCAGAGTCCAGAAGACAGATTAAATCCTTCCTCTATCTGAGCTGAAAAGCCCCAAATCCTTTCAGAAGATGAGTAGAGTCCACTTTTTTATAAAAGCAAACAATATCCTAGTAGTTAGAGTGCTTAATCGGGAATCAGGAGACTGGGTTTCAACTCCTTCCTTGGGGGGTTGAAGCCTGCAGCTCCCCTTTTCTCAAGAAAATGCCGTTACTATAAAGTTGTAGGCTATTCTGGAGAAGACGATCTCCAGACTTCCTGTTTAAACCAGCTCACTGTACCAAGAGCAGCATTGCACCAATGCAGACAGGCTTTGTAGTCCAGTCTAACTTAGAGGACTCAGATGAAATGGAGACCTGTTTCATTTCTTTGTCTTTACCCAGTCACTGTTTAATGTAAAATTCATTAAAAAGTACATGCATTTTCAAACCAACAACTCCAAAGATACAGATAATTTTATGCTCTTCCTTAGTGACTGCGTACCCCTTGTGTTAGTACAGAAAGTTTATCCCTTGTTTTCTGATGCTTGCCTTTTATATGTTTAATGACCACGATTTTAAAGTTTTCTTTGCACAGGGAGCAGGCTATATTATTGCTGCTAGCATCAATATTTTATATTCTCTTCCACAGCAGTGTCTAGAAACTTTGAAAAGTATAAGATTTTTATCTTGACAACTCTTTATATTTTTGGCCTTAATATTTACAGTCACTTTAACCTTGTGAGAGCTCCTCGTGTTCAAAATCTTTAAATAGAAAGTTTTTAGTCTTTCAGTAATAAAATAATGCAATCATTGCTATGCTCAGAGAGATTTGAAACAATGTCCTTGGTCATTCTTATTTCCATCTAACCTCTTTTAAAACACAGCAGAAGTTTCCTAATGTTCAAATTCCCAAAGACCCAGTAGGCCACAGCATTTTAAACAACTCTTTCCACACAAGTATTATCCAGTCCCTATCATCATAGAATCTGAGGTTTCATCATCATGTAGACAACAATATTCAGTGTTATATACTAGACTTTAATAGGATGGCCTGGTTCTCTCATGTAAAATCTTTATTATTTTCTTTCAAATAAAGATAAGTGTTTTCACTCAATTACAGTCAGAGTAATATTTAAGGTTGTATTAATCACTGGAGCAAACTTAATTTCAGGTTTGTAAAGAACCTGATTGAAGGTTCTCTGAAGCTAATTAAAACCTTCCTTTTTACGTTTATAGCTTAGAGCCAAAAATTTGGAAGACATTTAAGATACTTGTACTCTTTTTCACAGAGCGCAGTATTGGCCTGCCATCTGTAGTGATCATCAGATTTAACTCTTCAGACTTTTTGCCATTAGTTTTTTACTACAAACTTTTTTTTCCTTCGAATAAATTGGAAATTCATTTCAACCTGGAGGAATCTTTTCCTTGAATACAGCTCTGCATCTGAATATTTTTTCTATTCCTATGTCAAATTATCAAGATATTCTGTAACCTTCTGAGGTTAAGAGTGCTTTTAAATTCAAGTTATATCTTAATGTTCGGAGATACTGTTTAATAGTGAAATGGCTAAGCATGTAGGTAACTTAAACTGCATATAAAGATGAATCAGTAAGTATATCCTACTTGTCATTCAGGAAATCATATTATTTTATGTGCCCAGCTTAAACTGTAAGTGAGCATGCCTTCCTAAGCACTTCTGTAGTTGTACTACCAAGCCAAATCATCAAAATAATCTAGGTTAACACACTAAGATCTTAGATATACTGCAGGTTAATACATCAGGTTTATGTCCCATTTGGAATGGTTAAGATTTGATTGTTAATACGCAACCTTTGAAATAACATTCTGTATCCATGAAAAAGAATGTCTTAAACTCTTGGAATGTGCACAGTTATAATTTAGAAAATGATAAAATTTATTAAATTATTTTAATTAAAAATTAATTAATTAAAAAAATGTATTAACCTAGTACATTCAGAATGCAGGCCTATGAAACATACAAATTAGGGACCCTATTACACACAGGGAAACATTATGATCAAGCATATGTCATATGAATAAACTACTGGAAATTCCTAGGAATGCTTTACTTTTCTAATATACTTTTCTTTTTTCTTTTTTTCTTAATGTATATTTCTTTTTTTTTCTTCCAGTTTACTTTTTTCGATAACGATTGCAGCAAAGCGCTACCTTAATTTTTGTCATGATTTCATAGCTTTTAACTGATTTTTTATGCCAAAGCAGCAGGAGTATGTTTGCACTTAAACCTTTACAAGTTAAGAGAATCCATACAAATTTAAAAACCATAATACTCCAGCTGTCTATGTGTACAAACCACATCATTATTTCATTGCCTACATAGTACTGCTTTCTGCATTAGAGATAGATACATTTTATTCCCTTTTCTATTGCATTTTTCTCTGTATGTCATTCATGTGGAACAGCTATGTAATTATGTGGCACAGGCTGTGACAATCCCATAACATTGCCAGTTATGTGGGCACACCACATAATACTGTTGTGGGATTGCAGTAGTATTATGTGGACAGAACTGCCTACTATAAATAAAATACAACCTACCTATATGTACATATGCTTAACAATAATTATATAATATGTAATTTAGATAACGTTATTAGATTATGACTTGCTCAAATTAGAGCAATTACTGTTTTAGACTTTATGCAACAAATAACTATTTGTGCTGCTGCAACCAAACCCCATCACAACGGTCATTTGGCTCTTGATTTCAGACCCTAAACTTTAACAGGAACCTAAGAACTGGGGACACCCCACACCAGAGAAAAATCTTTGACAAAATCCGACTTAATGAAAAAAGTAAATAGAAACACCTAAGTCTTAAAAACATTTATTCAACAGTGAATTTTAGAGGTTTAGGGAAGGGTTTCCAAAAAACGCATATTGAATAGATGAAAAAGCTAAGGAAGGTAGGAGTTAGAAAGTGCCAAGATTTCTCAGAGTACAGAATGAGGCATATGACATATCTAACTGGGAAATTCTTTTTATGCAACATTTTACACTATATATATATGAATATAAGACACTAATTCTGTATAGTTTATAAGTTTTTTTCCCATTTTTAACCCCCTACATAATCATATAAACAAGAATATTAGTAATTTGGCAGTAAAATGTAAAGTGTGTGTGTATGTGTATATATATGCATATATATGTGTGTACATATAAACATATATGTATGCAGAGTGTGTATAAATTGGCCTGTAATCACAACATTGCTGACTATCAAAGGAACCTTTGGTTATCTCTGACACTGAGTCTTTTCATTTTGTAAATTTTCAGACTGTTAAATTTATCATATTCCCCCTCCTGCCAACCTACCCATTTCAGAAAATGATTTTTTTTAAAAATGTTAAAAAACAAACAAACAAACCATCAAACCATGAAAAGAGTAGGGGACATTTAATGACGCCAAAATACAGAGACGAAATTGTAATAGTGTCTGATTTTATACACTGTTTTTTATAATGTCACCATATTAACACAAATATTACTTTCGTAACTTACTATCTTTCAATAAATGATGCTATGGGCACATTGGAATGATTTAGTATGTGACAACAGAATTTAAGAGTGTTTAAACTTGTCTGATTGACAAGAATACATGTTTTCAGTAAAAAATGTAATTGGTGTTGAACCATACTCAATTTTTTAAAATATTTTGGTTGATTTAGAAGCTTTAAAAAACACACAGTAGCATTTGATGTCTTAAAACTAAACTGAATATCAGATCAATAAACTAGAATGCTATGTATACACATGGGTTCTTGTGCTAAAACATTTTCTTCTGATCTTCATCAATGGGTGACTTGATTGCCAAATAGAGAAAATATTAAAAATTCTATTTAATTAGAAAAAGCCTGTTTTTCACACCAAATATGCATTTGGAAGCACCACCAAGGCATAGCTGAATTCCGTAAAATCCCATAAAGAAACAAGTTCTTACCACAAGTTGTACTCGCCTACTCTCACGTATCACAGGATCTAACTCAGGCAAAAAACGACAGCTGGGAAAAACATAGAATAGAAATTTCAGTAAGTCAGTCCCACTTTACTGGGTTCACTAAAATACCTGTGCAGAATCTTTCCCTGGAAACACTCCTTCTTAAGTAGAAACAGTACTATTTAAAATAATTCCATGCTTAAGATGTAGCAGAGTAATTAATATTAAAATGTTTGTACTTAAGATTAAAATCAATAAAACATTAAAAATTAATATAGTTTATTAAAATGATACAATACTAATTAAAAAAATAATGTCAATGAATGCAACCATGCATGAACTTTTGCTGTACTTTAACCATGCATGAACTTTTGCTGTAAATTATAGTAAAATCAGTTGTCATATTACATAGGAATAAAATTGTTTTCAGTTACATAAATTCATCATCTGTCATAAACAGTCTACCAGTGATGTTCCAATGAAGATCAGTGGGACTTCTGTCACAGTCCAAAATGGTATCATAATTGTAAAAAATGTCATTACAGGTACTAGTGCATAGCGCACACCTGCAGAGGTAACATAATAACATTTAAAATAATTCTTTCATAAATTTCCATGTCTTCTTACTTTTATACATCCTTATATGATCTATCCCAATGTTTTCATTCAAATTAAAAATCATGGCAGTTATCTTAAACAAACACTTGGAGTGTTTAACTATTATGGAACATGACTGACAGATAAATATTTTCTAGGGAGTGCATGCTGCATATACTCCCTGGAGTCACTGATACAGTTAAGAAATATGGAATATTTTTCCATAGAAAACATAAGCAATATGCAGTCCACTTCATAAAGAATTAAATACATTTTTAATGAAAATGAGGTTAAAATGCTTACACTAAGTCCACTGCCTGTCCACTGACAACTTGTTTGGTTTTATTAGGGATGTTTGGCACTGTGTCTAATGACTTCATTTTGATATCAATAGTTTATACTTAATTTATGACCAAAACGTAGTTACTATGTCTTCATATTAGTTTATGGAATAAAACTAACCTTTTCTTTAATTGCATTGATATTTTACCTGTTTAATAACCAAAATTAAATAAAGAAGGAGCATGTTTATAACATTTTACTAAAGTATACTCTGAAGATGAAAAAATTGAGTTGATGTTTTGAAGAAAAAATATAAATACATACAATCTAGTTAAAAAGTGGAGGTTTTACTTCTTTAATCAAATCTAACAATACAGGTAATGTTACAGTTGATCTAATTATAGCTGATCCTAATAAAACCATAATGTATACCAATAATGCTATAAAATATGTGATGAATAAGCACTTTTTCCTACACCCTTTATAACATAACAAACACTGTATTAGTAGCATAAAGCTATGTAGCTATTTATCATAAAATTCTGCACTGCTTACCACTGTGGAAGAAGTGTCTGTACTACTAAAGTAATTCTAAAAGCTGCCACGTTTGAGACCAAGAAATACGGTGTACTATCTCCTAGCTACAAAATCATGTTTGTTTTAGAGTTATTAACCTGGGTTTCACTTTACAAGATAAATTTAAAATGAAAAAAATATCTAATTAAAAGGCAATGACCTCACCACTTTGTATTTTTGAAACTAGCAGCTCCATAATCCAAAAGCTGTGTATGAAGCCATTTGTATGTAAAGTCTTTTCTCCTTTGTAATTTCTCATCTAAAGAAGTATCCAGCTGAGAAAATTCTTCCTTTTTACCTGGGGAGGAAAAAAAGATACTCCTGTCTTTCATTAATTTTATTTTTTTTTTTTTAAGATTCCCCAGACAGATAGAGTGCATTGTCTTTTACAAAAGACAAAAAGGCAATTACTTGGGCTGAACATGTACAATTGCCAAACCCAGCTTATTAAAATTAGGTCCTGGCCCAGAATATGGAGTCATATATGTCTTGCTAGTGACACACAGACTAGAACTTAGGCAGAAGAATTTATCCTCAGATGATTTAAAGAACTTTCATTTACCTCTGTAGGAAGATGGAAAATGAAAACGCTTGGATGGTCACTGTATCTAACCAAATGAGGTTGTGAGGGCTGTCTGAAAAGGTCAAGTACAGAGATCATCACCTTCCTTGATTAATGTGGGAGCCATTTCTTCTTTTCTAAGTTTATGATATTGCCTTCCCCCATTCCTGGTTCGGTAATACAGTCTTCTGACCTTTACATTTTGAAAATTTATAGATTCCACGTCTGCAGCTACACTCGTATGCTTACAGCTCTTCAGATGAAGACTGCATAAGAGCAGTACTGGAGATTGAGCCTTCTGTGTATGCTCTCCAATGAGGAATAAGTCCCCAGTAAATTACCTGCGGGATTTTTCTTATCTGTATTTACAGAAAAATTGGTCCAGTATTACCATCTTTCTCAGGGGAATTACATCTTTGTATTAAAAGGATCAGTATTATTTATGCATTTACTAAATGTTACCTTTTCTTCCATTAAAAGGGAAATCAATGTAGGGATTTAAATCCATTATTAGAAGTTCATGTCTGAGTCTGTGTGTCAGTGATGGTTGAAAAAAAGACACACATACAATAAGCTATGAATAAACATACAAAGAAAAGAATAATTTTAACTTGCAAGTTATGTTTCCAAAATGACTGTTAATGACTTGCCTTAGTTGCAGTTTGCATTTTTGACTGAGTTATGTCTGCAGCTGCATTTATTTAACAAAATTTTATTTTAAATTTATTATTTATTTTGCATGTTAATTACTGAATCATTATTCAAACAAGATAAAAGTGCACAGAGTACTGAGTTGTTGTTTTTTTCTTCTTAAAATTATATATGCTAGGAAATGGAGTATTCTTGTTCCATGCTTGTGTTAATAGTGTGGTTTTTTTTTTCAAATAGGCAGATACTGCCAATAATTTGTTTAATAATGCTGCAGAACTCTGAATTCTGTTTTCTTATTTGGAACACACCCATATACTTACTTTTTAATAGCTATATCTCTCCTTTTAATTCTTATGAAAAAATGCTATGTTATGAATTAAACTATAGAATTATCACTTTTCTCTTTCACTTATGAAAATCATGTGTTTGAGGATTCATGATATCAGTATCATTAACATGCATTTGCTTGATATCTTTCTTAAATCAGGGCTCTGGGCTTTTTAAAAAACCTGGACCCGATTTTGTAGAAGTACTAACACTCACAAATTCCACAGTTATTAAGAGCAGTAAGCATTCTGCATCTTTGAAATGGATCAGACCTATAATTTTTAATTGTTAAGCAAAGACAACCCTTAGAATGTCAAAGAAAAAAAGCAATAGATCAAAGAAGGCACAACTCCATCAAAAGCCAAATTATTTAACAAGCAGAGGTATTTAAAGCATCATGCCCTCATTACATTATCACTTCTAAGCTTTCAATCTTTTTGAATTTTTGTGTTTGTGGGTTTGTTTTTTTGTTGTTTTTTTTTTTGACATGACACACACATTAATAATTTAAGATTAGAATAGTCTTATGCTTGGCATTAATATAGTAATGAGTTTTGGTTGTTGCCAATTAGTCATATACACACATACTGCGCACTCAGGCCAGATCCAGTGCAGCTTTCAGGGGTGCCTACTGCCATTTCCTTACAGAATCTGGGCATCTAAGAAGACAGAATTTATTCGGAAGCACATGAAATGTCCTTGGAATTAAACATTACAGGAAAATAGAAAAATATTTTCTATGTCCCCAAGTCACCATGAAAATCTGTAAGAACCTGAACTTTGGGATCTAGAAAAATGTCATCCTCCATCTCCATAAAACATCTTTTTGTTTGCTGGGCATGCTCTGAGACAGTCAACCCATGTTCAGTTTAAAATACGGTTGCTACTTACACACTTTAGACAATCCCTGAATAATCCATTACATGAGTTAAAGGAGAAGGTCTAAATCTGTGAACTAGTTCTGGTGAAGTGCTCTAAATTCTAGATAGAATTTTCTTCAAGATTGATGCATTTTGTGCCCTCAGCTGTAGCAGTCAGCCTTAAAAAAAAGGATTGAAACACACCAAAAAAGAATAGCTTTGCACATGGAAGCCGGAGACTCAAATCTCACCACACAAAGGAGTACCCGAAACCTGTTTCCCACTGTCTAAGGAGTACCTCATATCCATGTTCCCCAGTGGAGGGCAAGTGCTCTTAACAGCAAGCAAGTATACAAAAAGAAGGAAGCTGGTTACACAATGTTAACATTCAGGGTGATCTTTCAGATTCCGCATTTAAGTTTTGTGATTGTATACCCATAAAAACCTGATCCTGATTCTTGTAAATCTCAGTTACCTACTCAACTCTCTGTCAAATTATATTCTAGAGAATGCTGAAGAACCTGATTCAACACAGTGATTTTTTTTTTAATAAATCTCTTTGTTGGTGATGGGAAGATAAAAGATCTAACTTTATCATGTCACATTTTCTGAAACAGAGAAATGTGTGGGGAAGTCTGCACTGTATCCAACTTTTCACAGTTGAATTTTGTGTTTAGAGGGTGATTTAAATCACTCCAAAACTTGCTTCATACAGAGTACAATACAAACAAATTCAGAGATTAAGAAAACTAAGATACAGAATGTGAAAGAAGGGCTTGGGATTTCTTCAGCATTCCTCCCTTAATATAAAAATCTGTGAGCAGAGTTAATTTTCTCAATATGTATTCTAGAAATGGTGCTTCTAATATAAGAATTAAGTAGCTGGGTTTGGTCACAAAAATTAATGCTATGCTATTAATACATTGACATTTTTCTTATCTGTTAGCATTCTGGCATACATTACTGGCCAGCAATGTATATTATGAGGGCATGTGCATACGAGTGTCTATGGCTCTACAAATTATGTAAAAATATTATTCTAAATTAAAATTAAAATTATAGATAACCTATGAGAATTTTTATAATTTTTCATGTCTTCTATAAAGTTATGTTATAATACACATTAATAAATAATCTTGAAATCCTAAACCTAAAATCCAAAATTTTATCACATTTTCTGCATATGTTAGTCAATAAATAAACCAGCATTATTTCTGTCATAATCTGTATAATACATGCATCACAGAAAGCAAGAATGTAAGTAATCACATTGCTATCAAGGCAAGAAACTAAAGAATTTGGAAACAGACAGGAAAATAACAATCATAAAAACTCCACAACAACTACCCCACCTCCACCCCCAAAACCATCCAGAAACTTACAGAGAATGTAAGAGAAATGAGAGGAATTTCTTCACTTCCAGAAAAACCTTGACACATCTGTCAGAAGTCTACTTGTCAGAAGGCATTAAATACACCTAAGCATTACATAACAATCACTGCATGCCCAAATGTATGCTACATGCTGCCATGGTTTTGGAAAACATATGGTATTCAGAGTGGTCTTTAGCATATTCACAGGTACTCAGTGAATACATCTATTTTACCAATATATATGACTTCCAGACAGGGGCAGTAATTGATATGAATTCTTTCCACTTAAAATTACAGTATCTTCAGGCACTCTTTACCTACAGCTCAGGTATGGAATTTTCAAATAGTGAAACACATACATTTCTGCCTTAAACCCAAAGAAACTTGTTTTTAACATAGCTATACTGCACAGATTAGGTAATTGTAGATAAAACTTCTTCATCTGAGTAACTTTTGACTAAATCAACTTCTATCTCTAGGACAAGCATGCATCAAATAAAAATATTTATAGTGGTATCTGAGTGAGTTCACAGCTGAATAAGATTGGAAATAAATTTCTCTATTTCAGATGCTTAAAAATGCCTTATCAACTACCTCACAGAGGGTTTTGAACAGGGAGTTTTGAACAACTCAAAAGAGGACGTCTTTCAGAAAACAGAAATGCAAATAATGAAATTTAACACCCCCCCCCCCCCCGTGTCTCTTTTTACCAGGTATTTCAGATTTTTTTCTGACTATAAATAAGGTCTACTATATTACTATTCCATCTGCAAACCTTCTTCTCTATCTCTTCATCTGCTATTGTAATCATCTCCTTTCACCACGACTGTCCTTGACCTCACCCTTACATCATTCTTCCTCCACTGACTCCAGATCTCCACCACAACCTTCAGTTAAGACTATAGTCTTTATTTTGGCTGTCCTTTTTCTCCCTGTTCTCATTTCTAATTTTTGCTGTCTTTTACACTCTGCTCTATTTCTGGGTGATTAACACCAGTAATAAAGCTTCATTCACATAGTTTGTTCTGCTTCAGTGGTTAGCATATTTCAGCCTTTGCTTTCTGTGTTAGTTCTTTGATGTCTTATTTGATTATACAAAAGCTGAACACTTTCATTGAGATCCCTAAACCACTGAAACTATACAAATTTCAGCTTCTGAATTCAATGAAAACAGGCTTTGAAACTTGGGCCTTCCCACACATTATTTTCCATTTTGCTATTTGTTCCTGCCTCTGCAGAATACTCCACCCCTACTATTTATCAGTAGCAATTAGTATTTATACCTATCTTATTTTTTATGCTAAATTTGCTCCTTTCTCCATGCTGAGGCAAATCCAAGTCTTACATAGTCTTCAATGGCATACTTTTAAGATAACTTAATGCCATTTCTCTCTTCGTACCACAACAGTGTCAATGAGGTTCTTACAGTATTTCCAGATTATTTAAACTCTTCCATTGCAGCCATCTGATCACACAAATATATTGCAAACAACTAATTCATCTCAAACTGCTTATATCTTTTACT